TAAGAAATAGAGGAAAGAAAGGATTTAAAAACAAAAAATGAAGGTGAAAAACCACACTGGATCACTGGGCACGACAAGAAGGACAAGGGAGGAGTAACAATTTTCCAAATCTAAGACCTAGTGGTACAAGAATGAAAAAGGCAACACAGGGCCTCTCAATAGAATGGCCAAAACAAGAACATTCCAGCTAAGACAGGAAAGGCAGCAGCCCCTCACCTTTTTTGCTCTCTCTCCATTACTTCTTAAGTCAGCCAGTTGCATACGACTGTTGGCTTCTGCGTGTAAGGATATACTCAGGTCCGTGTTGTCTTTCCAATGCTCATAGCTATTACTATAGTTCAAGTCTTTGATGTTTCCAACAAAAACATTGTTTCTGTTATGTATCATCATCGAGTTGACTAAGACTCATAGCAACCATATGTCCAATAGCTCTGAACTACTCTATCCTGAGCCAGTCTCTCTGTCTCTGAAACTCCTACCAGTTATGTGTCAATCCACTTCCTCCAGGATCTTCCTCTCCTCAACATTCCAAGCATGATATCTTTAACCAAAGACTGGTCCCTCCTGGCTACATGTTCGAAGTATGCAAGACAGAGTCTCAAAATTCTTGCCTCCAAGGAGCAGCTTGGTATCACTTTGTCTAGGCTAGACCTATTAATTCTCTTGGTAATCCATGGTATGTTCTTCTCCAGCACCACAACTCAAAGGCATCAATTATTCTTCTGTCATCCTTGGTCACTGTCCAGCTCTCTGATGGAGTATGTAATTATTCTGAGTAATTAGAATGCATTACTCACTCTGATGGAGTAAGTACTTCATAAGTAATGGTGAAGACCATGGCCTGGATCCATCTTAGACTCTAGACTGATATCCTTGCTACTCAGCAATCTGGAGAGGTTGATGACAGCAGATTTTCCTAATGCAATTTTGTTTTTCTGACTGCTGGTGCCAAGATTGTGGACAGAGCAGGCTGAAACTGTTAACAATCTCAATCTGTTCTTTATCTATCATGATGCTGTCAATTGGCCCAGTTGTGAGAATTTTCATTTTCTTGAGTTTGAACTTCAATCCATGTTGTAAACTACAGTCCTTGACCTTATGCAGCAAATGTTTCAGGCCCTCCTCAGTTTCAGCAAGTAAGGTTGTGTCATCTGCATAACACACACAGGTTGTCGATGACTTTTCCTCCAAGCCTGATGCCGCATTCTGTCTCATAAAATCTAGCTGCTCAAATGATCTCTTATGCATGCAGATTGAAAAGTTATGGACACAGGACACATTACTGATGCACTTTTCTGATTTTGAACCACATGCTGTTTCCTTGCTCTGTACTGATGACTGCCTTCTCATCCAAATGTAATAGTTTCACGTGAGTTCCATCAAGTGTTCTGGGATTACCATTCTCCTCAAGGTTAGCCACAATTTGTGGTGATCTACGGTCAGATGCCTTTGCATAATCAAAGAAACACAGGTAGACATTCCTCTAGTACTCTCTGCTTTCAGCCAAGATCCATCTGACATGGTCAATGATGCCCCTAGAGCCACAGCCTCTTATAAATCCAGCCTGTATTTCTGGTACTTCTCCAGTCACTTTTGAATAATCTTCAGCAGGATTTTGCTTTTGGGTGATATTAATAATATTGTTCAATAATTGCCATACTCCGTTAGATGACCATTTTTTGGGATGGAAATAAATATAGTTCTCTTCCAGTCAGTTGGCCAGGTGGTTGTCCTCCAGATTTCTTGGTACAGCCTGGTGAGCATGTCCAGAACAGCATCTCTGTGTTGAAATATGTCAGTTGGTATTCCATCAGTTCCTGGAGTCTTGTATTTTACAATTCCTTCAGCGTAGCTTAGACTTCCTCCTTCTTTCACTCTTGCCTCTTGATCATATGTTGTTTCATGAAATTCTTCTGTGTCTGTCAATTCTATTTGGTACAGTGACTCTGTGTACTCCTTCCATCTTCTTTTGATGGCTCCTGAATCATTCAATATTCTGTCCATAGTATCCTTAAGTATGGCAACTTGAGGCTGGAATTTGTTCTTTAGTTCCCTCAGCTTTATAAATGCTGGACAAATTCAGCCCCTTTGATTTGCCCATGCTAGCTCTTTGCACATTTCATTATAACACTTCACTTTGTCTTCCTGAGCTGCACTTAATTATTTTATCACTCTGTCCTAGAATCGCTCCTTTCAATCTATCATCCCACAGTCCTCAGAGGAAGTACAATCATGCTCTGCTCCATCATAAAACCCTTCAGAAGTAGCCATTCTTGTTATGTTTTCACCTGTGTTATGTGATAGGTCTGTTATTTAAAATGGCTGACCTAGCTCTTGGCTTTCACTTTTGCCACATCCCTGAGGAGAACTATGCTAGTGATGTGAACTAAGTAAATAGCACCTTTTGGGTGGGAACATGCAAACCAGGTGTGTGAACTACTAAAAGTGGATTGGTCAGTCTTTCCATTAAGGTTAGACTTAAATGGAGCAGGTCCAGAGGCAGAAAATGGGAACCCCACTACCATGAAGAATGAAGCAGAGTGTGGGGCATTCTTCTGGGTCCAACATTCCTATACAAAATAGAGTGAGATGTGTAGTAGCAGCCACAGAGAGCCAGAGATAGAGAGGAGACAGACCTGAATTGGAATTGAGGCCCCCAAGATTCAGACTTGGAGACCTTCACCCAGGATTACTAGAGGGCTGGTGGGGTCAGGGTGGGGGGAAACTGTTAAATAAATAGCTGTGTAGTGCTGGCCCAAAGTATAGGACTCAATGAGGTCAGAGTGCCTGACAGCATATCTAAGAATCTGTCCTAACTGAATTGCAACCTGTTTCTTCCCTAATCTACACCATAGTACTTAGTATTGTCTGTGAGCTCTGTGTGGCCATTGCATCAGATTAGCAGACCCAATAACCCATCAGTGAGAACCATGGGAAGGACAGTAGTATTAGAATTCTAGAAGTAAGTACCAGAGCGTGGAGACATGTCTAATCTCATAGGAATCAGTTTTGTGCTGTGGGTGTTATGAAGGGGGATTATATCTCCTCGTGGAGTTGGTGAATGTCAGACACAATGGCTCCATGCTGCATGCACTGTTTTTATAACTTAGTTCTCTAATGATGGGCACAGATGCTCACAATAAGGACTACATCTGAATTCCCAAGGGCAAAGACAGCGATTATATCATCACCAGCTGAATCCCAGCTAACACAGTGCTACACACATTTAGTATTTATTGTCTGTAAATCAATAAAAGTGGAAAAATGTGTATATCAAATGTTATGAAGAATATAATTTTATGATATCAGAAAAGTATAAAAACAATGTTAATCCTGCTTATAATATTTCAAATTGTTTTAATTTCCTTCATATTTAATATTTGTTTTTCCTTTTGTTATTGGTGTTGGTTTGAGATTTTCAAATTATTCCAAAAGGAGTTGTTTTTCTGATAATGAGAAAATAAAATATTAACAAAACCAAAAAGTACTAGAGAAAAAAATTGCCACCCCAAGTCCTTCAGCTGCAGGCCTTGCCTCTACATCCCTCTTGCTACTCTGTTGCCACAGCAGAGCAGCAGCACCAGCAGTATCATATTCTTCATTTTTTAACTTGTGAGCTTTCTCACACACCTTCATGAATATTCTCCATGTGGTAATTCTGTGTTCTGATTATCTTTCTACCTAGAGAACAAAATAGAATCCCTGGTACATGAGTATTTTACCAGTTTATTAATGGAATAAACGAATACATCCATGAATAAGGTACTGAACACCAATCTGAAGCCTATCTTTTATTTTGATAAAATGGAACTAATAGTGATACTCATAGGGAGCTCTAGTGGCCTAGTGAGTAAGGAGTCGTGTTTACCAACCAGGTTGTTCCTAGGAGGCAAGGATTTTTGAAGCTCCACCTTACATACCTTGGATACGTTTTCAGGAGGGATCAGTCCTTGGAGAGGATGTCAGTGAGGGAGAGGAAGATTCTGGATGAGACAGACTGACACATTGACTGTGGCTTCACAGTCAAGTGTGTCAGAAATGGTGAGGCTGGGTGAGAATAGAGCAAAGTTCAGAGACATTGTTCAAAGGATCACTGAAGGTCATGGTCAACTTGATAGATAATAACAATAACAACAATATACGGATCTCTGATAGCCTGGTAAGTAAGTTGTGTTGTTAACCCAAAGGCACACAATTCAAATCCACCAGCTGCCTTAGGAGAGAAAGAGAGTCAGCCTCCTCCCATGCAATTTACAACCTCTGAAAACCTGCTGGAGCGCCTGCTATGAGTTGGTCCCAACTTGATGGCTCATAGCAACAAAAAGAATCATACTCATGAGGACTTTGATGGGTCAATGGCAGAATTCTCATGTCCCGTGCTGGAAAAAGGACCTGATTAATGGCCAAGGCACCTCAATACTGCCATCACCCATTTGTCAGTGGGAACTTGTATGTTGCTCTGCTGTTGGACAAGTTTCTCCTGAAATAGCTTTTAGGCTAAAATGAACTAGGAAGGAGGCCTGAGATTCTACTTCTGAAAATTAGTCCAGGAAAACCATATTGATCTCAACAGTTCATTCTTCAGTTCACTGATCACAACAGTTCATCAAGGGAATGGCCAGGATTATGTTGACTTAGTTCTGTTGTGCATTGAGCTGCTGTGAATCAGGAGTGACTGGACAGTGGCTAACAACAATCATACTTACCTAACAGAGTGATTGTGAGGACTGAAGGAGGAAATACAGGTAAATTACTTTTAGCATATATACTAAACACTCAATAACCCAAAGTAATCATGGAATCTTTTCAAAGTGACCATGTTCAAGATACATGGCTCCCTTAATTCCTCTCCTGACCATTTCATTGTCTTGATCATAGAAATCAAGGAGACAGTAAAAGCTTATTGTAATTTCATAAATATAAATCACCAACCACATGTGAAGATGATTATATTCTTTGTGAATTTACCTACAATGCTTTATTTTTTCAGGTGACATTACCTTTGCTGATGTTTCAAACCATCCTACAAAACCATGCTCCTTGCAGAACTGGTCCATCTTCAGGCCATTGTTCAGGAGTACATCTTTCCCCTGATCACATTTGTTGGCCAACAGAACTGCTGAAACCGGTTTGCCATTAGGGAGAGTTAACTTTGAGTCCAAATCACTTTTCCACTTTGTTACTGCTTCAAATGTGGCTGGCCTGGTGACATCAAAGACAATAAATGCACCCATAGCTTCTCGGTAATAGACCCTGGTCATATTTCCAAATCTTTCTTGACCTGTCACAAAAAAAAATTTAAAAAACAAATAAACAAACAAAAAAACCACAAACCAACCACATATCACAGCTGCAAACTCAAGCACAGATTGGAACCCCCAAGGTCTCTAGGATAGATAAATTACACAGTAAAGTGATTCTTTGCTACTCTTTAATGTGTTATCTACCTACACATTATGCAGATTGTTTTAATTTTTTTTATGTTCAGAAGGGAATTTAATAATTTAACAAACATGCATAGAGACCCATCTGAACAACATATAATATTCTAGACAGCTGTTGCTTAGTGTATTATCCACTAGCCACACAGTTTTTTTCAATTTAATTTTAAATTAATTTAAAATAAATAGTTCATAATTAATTTGCTTGGTCACACTATCTAAGCATATTTCAAATGCTTAGAAATCAAATGTGGTTACTAGACAGTGTCAATATACAATATTTCCATCATCCCAGAAAAGTCTATTTGACAATATCAATTTAAACAGTAGAGATACTGTTAAATGATAATGATTAAAACTGAGATACTCTGTAACCATGAAGTTTACATTTTAACATGATACATTATAAACATAACATATTACAAATTATATAGCATCTTTAAATGGTGTCCTGTTCCAACTACGATTAACATTAGAGCACTTGTGTTCCAAGACATTATTTTTAATTGCTTCCTATGCATCTGAAAGTTGGACATAAATAAGAATGGCAGAAGACAAATCAATGTTTTTGAACCATGACGATGGAGAAAAGTACTGACTATCCCACGGTCTGCCAAAAGAACAAACAAACTTGTCTTGGAGAAAGTGCAACCAAGGTGCTCCTTAGAGGTATGGATAATGAAACACGGTCTCCCACACTTTGGATGACTTATAAGGCTTGTCCAGTACTTGGAAAAAGACACTGTGCTGGGAAAGGCAGAGTACCAGAGAAAGAGAGGAAGATTCTCAACAAGAAGAACTGATGTAGTGACTGTAACAATAGACTTGAAAATGCCAGACAGAGATCATGAGGATAGCACAGGATAGGGCAACGTTCAGAGCTACTGTTCATATGTCCCTAAGAGTTGTAGCACAGTCGATGATACCTAACAACAACAGCAACTCCAACTGTGAGGAATAGTAATAGTTAACATGTAATGTATGTTTGCTAACCATCCGAGATGTGATTTATACAATATCAGCCAGGTACAGTTATTGTCCCCCTATTTCAGATAAGAAAAGTAAGTCTTGGAGAGTCTAAATAGTTTACTTATTAATTTATATAAAAATTATATTAAAAAAGAAACAGTTCAGAAATCTAGGATTCAGACCTAACCTGTTTGGATCCACAGCCAATTCTCATTTTCCCCTATTAAATGCCCTCAACTACTGAATCAGTCTTATACAATCTCCTTCAAGGTCATGTACCAAGAATGACTCATTCAATTCAATACAACAGTTATTTATTGGACATCTATTGTGTTAGTGCCAGCCGCTGAATCCAATGGCAGGAATACAATGAACTAAATCACTACCACTAAGCAGTCTACAATCTATTAGACAATGAATGCTCTCTGTTCTTTTAAAGAAAGAAAAAAAGAAAAAAGGACGAGAATAGAAATTTGGAGATCTGTTTTGCTCTGATGCTTAATTTTATAATTAAATATTGGAAATAACGAGTTTCTTAATAACTCGCTCTCTAAGCATGGTCATTCTTACCTGAAAGAATAATTATATCAACCTCGAATAGTGGTCATGTACGTGAACATAATTAATCGATCTAAAGCATTTGTCATGGCATTTTGGAATAATTTGGTATTTGGGTTTTCTATCCTTTTCCCTTTGCATGTTAAAAAAAATATAAAAGACATTATGACATGTGCTGAACTCAGAAATGCAGACCAGAGTTTTTGGTGCCAAAATTACAGGTATCACAGATAAAAACTGTGGATAAAATCTCATTACTTCTAGTTCTGTTTACTAGTGGTTTCTGAAAGCAGTAGCTAATGTAGGAGTGTATAGTTTTCTTTAAAAGATCCCTTTGATATATAACTAGCCAAAATATTTTTATTCTAAGTTAAAATTATTACCATCAAGTCGGAATTGACTCATTTCTGACTCTCCTTTGAGTTTCTAAAATTTAATTTGCATGAGAGAAAACTGTACGTCTTTCAAGGAGCCACTCACTCGATTCAAAGCATGAGAAAAACACACACCCTTTCGGTCAGCAGTGCAACACACCCTACAGATTATGCCATCAGAGTTCCATAGTGAAAATAATTTTACATAAAACAATGTTACATGTGTATTTAACAAGTGTATTTAACCTTTCCTTGCAGAACATGAAATGCTGAAAAAGGGCTGTATTAAAGAATATCCGAGTAGACATACTTTCAAGAACCATCTGAATTTACATTTCACTTTGAGCTCCAGATTATTTTCTCAGTCATATTCACAGTGACATTAGCAATGCAAGGTGTAAGAAGGCCCCAAGCTTTTAGTGAAAATGAACGAAGGTCAAGACTCCGTTGTCCTAGGGAACTGACGAGTCTCGTTGGTTACGTGTGCACTGTGCTTGTGTGGGTCCAGTGTGCACTGAAAAGAAGAGCATGCCATCAGGATCCGCACATGACAGCCCTAAAACACTTCTTCGTACATGGGCATACCACACAAGTGGTTTTTTCCACAGTTATCCAGTCAATGAAAGAAAATTATACACTACCCTTCATATGACACACTCAACCCACAGATGAACTTCCATTTTCCTAAATGAACTTTAAATTTCTTTCCTTTTTTAAAAAATGCATGATGCAAACAGTGCTCTCCTTTGATAACGCTCAGGGTGGCCATGACATTTCAAGAAAGCAGGGAGAAAGGCCTCTGTGATTATTCAGGACTCTGCCTGCCTCAAGGCTTTTCAAGGATGTCTTATGATCTCTTTCAGGGAACCAGTTGCATGAAGGACAAAGTCATGGGTTATTCAATAATCTGATTGTACAAGATTTTCATGGCAGAATTAGCCAGACCTCAGGAAGAGTTTCATTTCAAATATATAGCATAGGACATTTGTTTGCATACAAAATTTGTATGCATTGTATTTCTTTTTTATATATTATGTTTCACGCATCCGTTCATTCACACTATGTTATGATCATTCCCATGCATTGTGTTTTATAAAATTAATCTTTATTAATTAATCAAATTAATAATTTATTATTGTTGTTATGTGCCGTCAAGTCGCCTGCAACTCACAGTGACCCTATGTGCAAGAGCCCTAAACTCTGCTCTATCCTGTGCCAACCTCACCATCTCTGACACACTCATTCCCACCACCCCAATCACAGAATCAATCTGTCTCATCAAGGGTCTTCCTCTCCTGCGATGTCCCTCCACTCAATTTATCATTAGTTACTAATAAATAAACATTTTAAGCAATGTATGGGCATACACCTTCATACACAAACAAATTTTTAAAAGAGCTAATGGACTACATCAGTATTGTAGAGAGAGAAACACATTCAGCCAACCACTTACTAATTTGAATGCATCAGATGTGTACAGAAGGGACTCCAGATGTCTTCAGAATAGGTGTGCAGAGGCTAACACCAACACAATGAATGCACGTGGGTTTTTCCAGCAAGACCGACCAGCTTTCTCAGGGCTAGTATTGAGAATACCATGGACTGCTAGGAAAACAAACAGATTTGTCCTGGAAAGAGTTAAACCAGGTGGCTCCTTGGAGGCAAGGTTTCTGAGGCTCCATCTAACATATTTTGGACATGTTGTGAGGAGAGACCGGTCCTTGGAGAAGGACATCATGCTTGGGAGGGTGGAGGGACAGTGCAGGAGGGGAAGGCCCTCTATGAGGTGGATTGATTCAGTGACTGGGATAATTGGGATGGGAGTGTCAGAGACAGTGTGATTGGCACAGGACAGACCAGAGTTTAGGGCTGTTGTACATAGGGTTGCTATGAGTCACAAGACACTCGATGGCACATAACAACATCAACAACAAATGGACTACAGCCTTCTATACAGATTGAAGCTCAACATGAAGAAAACAAAGGTATAAGAGAATCTTATTTCTTGACGCTGAGCTTCAATTCATATTGAAGGCTGCAGTCCATTAGATGTTTTAAAATTTGTGTACGGGGGATTGTATAACAATAAAAGAATTTTTATCTTACTTTTCAAAGAGAAGAATGAATTGGGGGGAGGGGTGGTCAGGGAGAAAAGTGCAATAATGAATGGATGAAAATCCAAAGTCTCTATAAACTTTCATGAAAATTAATTAAAAAAAGAAAGAAAAGGAAGATTCCCACCACTGGGCCACCTGGCAGCGTCATGGTGAAGAGACTGAGATTGAGATTATTGACAACTTCAGTTTGCTTGGCTTTGCAATCAACACTCATGGTACCAGCAGCCAGTAAATTAAAAGATAAATTGCACTGGGGAAGTTTGCTGTCAAAGACCTTTCCAAAGTACTGAAGAGTAATGATGTCAGTCTAGAGACTAAGGTGCACCTTATACAAGCCATAGTCTTTGCAAGTACTTGCTATGTGTCAGAGAGTTGGACAATGACTAGGGATGATTGGAGGAGAGTAGATATCTTTGAGCTGTGGTGCTGGAGAAGAGTACTGAATATACCATGTACTGCTAGGAGAAAAAAAAGTTCATCAGAGAGAGAGAGAGAAGCCAGGCTGCTCCTTGGAGGTAAGGATTCTGAAGCTTCATCTGACATACTTTGGACATGTTGCAAGGCAGGATCAGTCCTTGGAGAGAGAGACATCATCTTGGGAGGGTGGAGGGACAGTGCAGGAGAGGAAGACCCTTGATGAGATGGATTGATTCAGTCACTAGGGTAATGGCAATAGATGTGTGGGAGACAATAAGATTGGCAAGGGATAGAGCAGGGTTTAGGGCTGTTGTACATAGGGTTGCTGTGAGTTGTAGGTGACTCAATGGCACAAAACAACAACAACAGTGCTCTCTAGGCAATGATGACCCATAAAAACTTTTG